AAGGTAAACATTTACTAACTTCAGCGTCATCGACCATCGCTGCTAAGTTACTACGTTTCTGTGCCAAAATAGCTATGCATCCAAACAGTAGGACAGCCGTGCAGTCAACACAGAACCAAAAAGCGTTTGTGTCATTGGCCAACACTATCATTACACTTGTCTTGTAACACGCACACTTGTGTGATGATATTTACTGCATTCAGAACGCAAAACAGAACTTCGAACTATTTTTCCCTAGTGCTTCGCTAGGTATCGCAATGGGTTGAACTACATTTTGCGTCATGTTTCCAGCTCTGTCTGTGCACATATCGAGTGCGACAGTTGTCTGCATAGACACACACGCGCATGTGCACACATATGGGGTCAGGCAAATGGCTATTTGAACTGTGCAAGCTAGAAGTGACACATGCTAGCCGTACATAGCAGGAATAGGAGATGTGGCGATTTCCGGTAGATAGTGATTGCAGCAAGAATGCAAAATCTCTTGTTTTGCGATATTGGATAGTGGAAGAACAGCAGTGAACTAGAGGCTGCAAAATATGATGCAGCGATAAACACGGTGTTGGATGAGCACCCGTTTTGGCTGTTTTCATAGCCTTGGAAAAATTATCTCGACTGGGATTAAAAATCCAATGGGGAATTGAAAATAAGTAGTTCTGCGCGAGAATATTGGTAACAAATCTGTCCAATTTTCCGGAGGTAAATACCAAGTTAAATCATTAAAAATAATCCGAAAACAATATCCAGTTTTAAGACTTAATAAATCCGTGTGCAATGAGTGTGGGTTGGATGATATGCAATAACACTGTGAGTATTTATCTGCATAATATCGTGAGCTTTGTAATGGCACGACCGTTCAGTGGACTGTGACTATAAGCCTTATGAACAGTTATCGAAAACGTATGTTTTTTACATAGATTTTGAACATATACATTCTTAAATGTGAGACTAATATTGTTTTATATGGTAAAACAAATAAAGCAGACATGTACCATGCTCCAGATGGACGAAACCCGATTTTGTCTGATTCCGGCTATAACTTCCATGGTTTTTCATTACGTCGAGGCAATCATAATTGCAACTTTCTGTCAGTACTCAAGAATTTATACACATGAGAGCCTTCAACCGCAGGTATTCGTGAAACAAACGGCAGTTGAGCGGTGCCATGACTTATGGGAATTACTGTAAGTAAATCACACATTCACAAGTCACAATGGTAGTTGAAGATGTGTTACGTCAACGTCTCTCTTGTTCAAGTTTGAACTAAAGCCTGTAACAGTGCAAGGAAACCTACGAAAGGTGCGATCAGATACAAATTGATACAGATTTTTTCGTCAGTAATGTGTACACCACATAAGGGTAACTAATATCAGTATACTGCCACCTCATTTTCGGCCACCAACTACATCGAGATTAATGTACTCTTCTGTTTGTTTTATTGGTGCTAAATCGTGATACAGTTTTAAGTTACCGGAAGCCACGAATCACAGGTTGGTTGAATTTCAACCAATCTTCTACTCTATCCATCTTTTTTGATAGCGTCGTTAAGTGTCTTCCCAAAGTCCGTTAAATACACCTTACTTGGGCGAAAAATTCCTTTATTTGCTATTGTAAGCGTGTGTCTTACAGTGGAAGTTTTACCACTTCAGAGCGCCTAATTGCTCGTTCCAACGTCACTAGTCGATGATCATATGCTTAAATTTCGTGTGTTCCAATACCGACGGATCTAAATGTATCGATCACGCAATAATACGAAAAAGCGGTGCAGCATTTCCTCTGTTTCTAGTGGCTGTATGATTAGATGCAGATGCAATCAAAGTAGTTGAAACTACAAAACTACCCAATCGCTGAGATAATATTCCTTGCTAACCTGACTTTAAATTCATGTGGCCATGATAGATGAATGCGTGACAGGAACACGTAAGCCGGTGGAATTTCTCCACTATTTTCCTGATGAGACTTCTGTCTATAGACCTTACGTTGTCACCGAGACAAGAATTTACGTCTCACCCAAAAACTACTACAAGCGTCCCTGAGATTCTAATCTAAAACCTAGACTAGCTACTTAAGTTAAGAACTGGACTTGTGAACACAAAGTGAATGAGCGCTTGGGGTGCTTTCCGACCCAACACACTTTGAAGCATATAATTGTGAAAGCGGCCGGTAGTTTAGGTGAACATAGCCGAAGTAAGTCCATCTGGAAATAAATCAGCAAGTACTGCCCAGCGGAGCTGGTCATATTTGTGTTCACCCACGGATATTGTTAAATTGTTGTAGCTCAGCATGAACAAATCTCAACTTGACAACAAACGGGACTAGTGTGAGATTGAAGTAATTCTTTGTACGACATTGTAGGTGAACCGCTTAGCTCTAGGTAACGTTGAATGAACAATAATAACCGGTCAATGGGTACTAGAGAACATGGGAATGTGAATGACATTTAGGTATAATGGAAACAACCAATCTATTCACAAATAACCTACTTTGATTGGTTCTAATAGCTGCGGATTAATCCACATAAATTACCGTCTACATTCGGAGACGAAGAGTGAAACGCTGCATTTGGTATAGCTATTGAGTGATTCTGTAGGACTGGTTTGTTTGTATCTATCACCTACAGTAGTTTACTGCTGTAGGAAAGAGTTTGAGACGTTTGCCTACATCATATTTGTTTTAACCACAAGTTTAATTGTTCGGTGTTGTTGGAGGTGCATTACGCCGAAGGCATGATCAGTAAAGCTTCTCTCATTCTGACCATGTGAACAGTGGTTGGCCTATAGTACTCCTATTCGATATAAGTAGCACAAGCACGTGCAGACTTACCATTAATTCCTGAACTTGTACGTTTCCTACGTTGCCCCATTTATATGGGATAGGTCGTACTTGGTATGAGATATTACGTAGCCTCACGTTTTTCGAAATATGCGGAAACTGGAAGTGAATAGTTTGGTTAAAGAACGTGCCAAGTTAAACCTGTTCAATAAGGCATCTGATTTGTACGCCTGGGGCTAACTCGCTGAAGACTAACATCAGTTTGGACAAAATCGAAGTATACTCGAATACCATTCGCAAACTATTTCAGGATACCCAATAGCAAACATGGGCAGGGAATCCTACCATGCCTCCATATTATTCATCAATCATGAAAAGAAATTAATCCAAATCCCTTAGGAGGACCATATGGCAATTACTCGCGAAATCAACTTGCCCAAACGCTTTTATGAACCCGGAAACAGTAAATTTTTGGCTCGACCTATTGAATACATAACACTTATGAAGCCCGTTGTTCCAGTTGGTGTCAAAACCCTAGAAAATTACTACGGTTTTTGTATAAATGTTATATTATAAAGTGCAGGCGTATCCGAGTTTATACTGGTTTGAATTGAGGTAATGAAGTTTCAGCGCTTGCAACGTTGTCTAGTTTATTTGTAACACTGCAGTTCGCCCTAAGGGGACGTGAAAGTCTAAATGGCCAGGGTTATATCTCAGTAAAAGCCGACAATGATGGACAGTGAAGCACACTGGCATTTAAACTACATTCGCACGTCAATCTTCGGTGGCTTTCGCAAAAGCGCCGACAAGGGTTGGTCCAACTGAAATAGGAAATAATAATAAAGACAATAGTTGTGAAGGAAGAGCAGCCTGCAAGAGCCGAAAGAGTAGAGGGTGTGCGACTTTTTGTTGGTGAGCAATTTTCAACTTTGCTTTGACCGGTATCGCCTGACCTGAATGACGCTGGTAGTGAAAAGAGATGGCTTAGAGTTGAGGTTGAAAAGCGAGACTCATTTAGAACCCTAAAGAGGAACACGAAAACGGACGCTAGACTGACTGCGCATCGGCACTTCCCAAAAGTCATAGTGTGCTTCAAACAGACAGATAAAAGTCATTACTTTTAATGACAAACGTTGCCCGACACCAATCAGTTAGTTTTGAGTAGAAGCTTAAGCTAACGCCCTAAAGGTTCCTGGTTTGATGTATGCTATCTTCACCTGATGATGTGAATTAATTTGGAAACGGGTCATGGCGTGCAGTGTTTTCGCATGGTCAATGCCCGATAGGTAACCGCTTCGGATGCGGTCCTAATGACTGAATTGACACAGGTGCTCTTCACAGCGGATCGCAATCAATATTAAGATTGCGCGTTGTAATCTCTTCACACAACTTGTGCTTCAAAATGATCCCCAAATCAGTCATTGCCTGTTGTGCCAAGCGATTCCAGTCGTAACCCAGTGGCTTACTAGTAGGAGCCCTGACTAACGTACAAGTGATCCTAGGTTTGATTCCTGCTATCGACATCTGATGACATCAGATTAGGTAAAAAGCGTCATGGAGTGCGGTGGCTTCGGGAGCGCAACACCCAACATCTAACCGCTTCATCAGTTACGGTTGCATTGATAGATTTGACCAAGGCTCAGTTCAATGGGAAATGCGGTCCACTTTGAGATTGCACGCCGCAATCCATTCACGCAGTGTGTGCTTCGAAATGATTTATCCAACAACCGTCAAGTTGTTTGCAATCGACTAGAAACCAAAAACAGACTGGTCAATGCAATAGGTTGGCGAGCTGTAGGCCGTAGGTCTAAACCACAGTTAATGGCTAATCTTTAGAATAAATAAACATAGCACTTTTCCTTCGACAAATGTAACCCTGACAACCCATCTTTTAAGTAATGTGAGCGATTGTTAACGAATTAGGATAAGCTTGCATGTGACCAACTAGTTTACGGCGCGTCACTGTACATGCTTCGCTCAATCGCTTGTTTCACTGTATTTCGCCAATGATTAAGAAACATAATCACAGCAAATGAAAGGCCACTTTGACACCAACGCATCTCCGCGGCTTGGTGTATTTTTCTCCCCTGATTACATGTGACCCAACCGAGGTATTAGAATTCCGAATATACTGGGGCCAACATGCGCTTGGTATGTGCTTTCATGCATTAGCCCTTATTGTTTTCCTTATCAAAAGACCTTGCATTGCCGTTCTTTTCTCTGTTCAGCACTGTGTCTTCTGGCATTAACAGTTTGGCGGCCGTGGTGTTGGAAGATTTCATCCTACCGATTCATGAGTGTCTGCGAAGTCGGGAGTTGAATGCTCGGAAGAAATCCATTCTTGGGTTCACACTTTGTAAGTACTACACAATTGGTATACCATGTGAATAAAAGCTACGAGCTTCAAAGTGCCTTGAAAACAAGAACGCAAATACTCACCTTTTCCAAGGAACTCCTTTTGCTGACGGTTTAACACCAAAGCAAAAGGAATTTTGGCGTGTGTAGTTGCAACTTAGGAGTGTTTGATATGAAAATTCTATTTTGCCTGCCAGAAAACACCGCGTCTTGATCTTTTTCGAACTCATCAGGTACAGATAGTAGACCTAGAACTCGGGATCATTAATGATGTCCGCTGGGATTCCATTGTTTGGAGGGGCAACAACGAAATTCTTCCTATTCGGGTACAGTCTTTTTGATCTGAAAGACCGAGGTCTACTTCAAGGGGACCGAGGTCTTAATAGGCATAACGTGTCGCAATCCAACCGCACGGCGGACACTCCAAATCCAACATTGCGTGTCCGTTTGAGACCTTCAGGACACCAGGTCACGAAGGTTAACGCTTGGCACAGCGGTCAATGAGGGTCATTTTGAGGTACGGGTTGTGTGACTGGATTGCGACGCGCAATCTCAATGTGAACCATAACTTTCATTGAAGTACATCGCGGTGGATTCCATCGCTAGAACCGTAGCTGTAGTGTATGGGTATTGGGTGCTACTCCTCCAGGGTTCGAGGCTTGCAACCACTATCCGATGAGGTCAACTAAGTTCGATTCCTGGTGCACATTGCGATTGCGCGTCGCGACCTAATCACGCGAAAGGTGCTTCAAAAGGACTCTCAAATCAGTTTTGCTCTTTGTACGTAACTGGCCTTCTGGAGGGCGGAAATTTATTTCATAGTGTTGTCAAACAAGCATGTTTGATTTGTTTGGAAATGGTGCAAGGTTAATAGCCAGTATTCAGGGCAGTAGCCCGTGCAGTGGAAGGTACCATTACCAAGTTAACAGTTTTCAAATAAGAATCGTCCTACTCATGAGTAATATAAAATGTGGCCTCATCTAGTTTCAAATGCTATGAACGTAGCGTAGGGAGAGAAAGTAATGGCCTTCGGAGGCTAGCCGCTGTCAGCTGCAAGTGTAGCAGCCTGCATGGCAGTGGGGGACAGGTCATGCTGTATCCCAGTTAGCTTTCAGATTATGTAGACCTGCCGTCCCCATTGCTCAGCGGATAGTTGGCATCTTCCTCTAGCTATGAAGCTTGTGAGCTACTGGGACGAAAACATTAAAAATTGCAACTAAAATCCTCCTGCTCATGAGTAAGTATCAACCTGTGATCATTGCGTTTTCAGCTAAATGGAACCTTGAATAGCGAACTTAAGCCAGGTGACACATAATACCACACATTCTACGTTGACATTTTTGAAGCAATAGTTGCTGAAATGATAAAAAATATAACCGCATTTGGCATGCTTATTTGCCTGCGAAGCATCCCAACTATTAAATTTTCCATAATGGAAAAGAACCACGGAATTGCCTTTCGGAAATATGTGCTGTACCTGCAAGCGGAAACTGTGAGCTTTCCTCTGTAAGTGAGTGTACTCTTAGAGTGTACTCTTTGGAGAAGCCAGCAATGCCGTGTGACTTAACAGTTATCCTGAGGTTAAGTAATCTAGGCCCTTCCCATCTTTAAAAGTACTTCCATTGTGGTAGTTAACGACTGCATGTATCTCTTATTTTCAGCGATGTTTCTGGGACTCACAACGATCGGCTTGTCATTCCTGTTCGAAGTGATGAATCCAGGCGTATTGCAATTCGCTCAAAGCCTATTTGGAGCAGTCGGGGGCCCAATCTTCGCAGTGTTTACATTGGGCTTACTCTTGCCCTGCATCAACTGGCAGGTGATGTACCATAGAGTTGAAACATTCTAAGCGATTAGCAATACGCAGTTTTGAGGTGTGTATCCAGATATTATTCGACTAGTTGATTAGTAGATTCATTCATGAAATTTAGAGATAGAATAACTTCACTGGAAGATGCATGTCAAAATCTGCAACTGCATGTAAACATTGCTTCAGGTCCGAATCCCCTTATTTGGATGTATAATTATGACCTGGATCATGGTCATAACCACTCTAAAGGATAGAAGAATACACAAACACCCGTAAGCCCCAGGCTACGGTATATGAGTTTTGTGATCCAACTGGCAAAATGCTAGCTAACACTATTGGTTAGTCTGTGCGGCGTTTGGCTGCAAGTTACATAGCTGTCTACATGGTAGTTTAATTGATACAATGTCCGTCTCATAAAATGTCTTCAATAAACAGATTTGCTCTCCCTGTCCATGCAAGCTGTGAACACAAACATCAAACGGTAAGTTCATTCAAACTATACGCTTAGCCGACAAGATCTAAAAGCTTGTAGTTATGCTGATCTTTTGGAATGGTCTGGTTTGTGGGGAGTTGCCGTTCAAAGTAGCAAGTTATGTGAGGCATAACAGTTATCCAAGTTACCAGTATATATCTGTGCATGGTATACATTTTGCAAAGTAAAGAACTCCGTCTGTTTAGGCCACATCACGTAACCAGCATGCGTATTTTCACTAAATATGTAAGCTTTTTGAAAACATATTTTTCTTAATCCATCCACAATCCATATATCTCTTCTCTTCACCACCGCATTTCAATGACTGACAAAACACACTACGTTCAAGGGTGCTCTGGCAGGACTGCTGTTCAGCCTAACTGCGGGGTTGTGGCTCTGTATTGGCGCGATTGTATATCCTTCGAGTGGGAACACACTTCCTCTCTCAACCAACAGTTGCCGGATAGACAATGAGACATTCATTTCAGCTGCCAGTCCCGCTCCGGAACAAGAGTTCAATTTTTACTCCCTATCATACTTGTACTACACTCTGGTGTGTCTCGCCGTTTCGGTCTTGTTCTCCTTGGCAGTGAGCGCACTCTTTAGTAAGTGGGACATTTTTCATGGTAAACAACTGTCTGCTCCTCTTATGGGGCCAGTATTATTCATCCAAGGCATCAATAACCTTTATCCCGTTAACTAATAACTGATATCCCGACTAATTATTATAGTGTCCGTTAAAGCATAACGGCAATCAAACGAATGTGTGGACATTGTGAACAGGTAAAACAGTAATTTCGTCAAATACTGCCATGCAGGTGCAAGAGAGGTAGCCAATCAGAAGCAAGCACATGCGTTCGCCCAATGACTGCTAATTGAGCTTGCGTTGAGTCATGGCGAATCGATCGTGAGGACCACACTGAAAATCAGGGTAGACTGTAATGCGGAAAAATCACACTGTCCCATCCTCTGCTTGAAAGTATTTAATCACTTCATATGAGTGTTTAAGCGGCTGCCAACAAAGGCAGTTAAAAATATACCCATGTAACAGGAACCAATTTGCGTTGCCCACCAAAACATACCGGATGATAGGGCGACGCATCAATATGGATAATCGTAGACTCCGCTGTTCGAGCTGTTGACACTGTCGTAGCTGCAATGGCTCGTGGAGAAGTAATTTCAGACATTGTCATGTGCTAACAACTCGCATGTAACTCAACTTCCATCTAGCAGTTCATATGTTCTTGGCATAAGCACGGATTCTACAGAGGTGCGAGTTTCAATTTTTGCGACATCGCGGTTTTAAGGAAAAACAACATAATTATTTTCGCACAATTGTTGGTTTCATTTACTTGTTACCCGCAGTGCTGGAGTGAGAATTTTGCTTAGTTCCACATTGATTTTCATTATTGAATTTCGGAAATTTACGTGATAAGAGGCACCACTGCATCCGAACTGCTGAGAATTTACTCATCCGGATAGTTTAATCCTATGTAAACATTTCCTATTTCTGTTTTTTTATAGTTAAGCTATATGGAATGAAATTTCTTTCTTTCCCTTAAGTTAACATTACATATTACAAAATGATAACTAGATAATTAACTGCTCATAGAGGTCCGCTGCCGTTACCCAATGCCTAATGACCTTAGTTTCTAACTCTAAGAATTGTGTCCTTAGACCAATTGGATTGAGAGGACCCTTGCTGCTGACATGACCGAACAGGATGGATGACGGTGGTTGCATAAAGGAATCTGACTAGAGAACATATTTTCCACACAATGCACGGAATTAAGACGAGTAAAGAGTCCGAGCATAAGACCAACTTGGCGAAAGTTAGGCTTGGAAAATTGGGCATTAGTTGCTTCTGATTAATTACTCAGCAAAGAAATAATGCTATCTAACATCTGGTGGTACTGATATCACGAACTCCATCCGGGTAAATGTTTGTGTGCCACATTTAACAATTGGGTCGGTTTCGTTTAGAACCATAACCAAATTTTCGAAACACCGTGACCAAGGGCACACAAAGCAAGGCAGCAGCTTAATACATGTGTTGGACACTAACTGGGCCAACAGGCAACTTTATCACTAGTGGAAGCATATTTCAGACACGCTGCGAGTGAACCGAGAAGAAGTATAACCGTAGTTGCTTGTACCTTGAGCACAAAGTAAACTAACATCTGAGGATTATGTGAATCTCTGAAAAAAGGTTTTGGGGGCAATAGAGAACAAAGCAGAGGAGAAGCGATGTGGTACAAATGATGGGATTTGTGTCAGCAAGATTGCAAATGAATTTTGTCTGCCTTATCCCTTGTTTACAGGGCACCGTCCAGAAATTCGGAATCCTCAGTCTATAACACTTGTGTAGTAATTGCATAGGGCAGATATCGTAACTGTGTTGATTCTTAGCGCTGGCAAGTAACAAAGACCGCATGGAGGCAACCTGTCAGCACACAACTGAACACGGACCATGTGCAATCGTCTCTGCAATACTAGTTCATAGAATAACCGGCCAATGGAGATTCGCTTGTAGGCTAATGGTGAAATAAACGAACTGTGAACCGCAGCCTACTGTACATCACCGATAGCAAACAATGTTGTAGTCAAATTGTTATTAAAAGCCAGCACAATATCTGCCTTTGGAAAGTCTCATAACCCATGAGAAACTAAGGTAGTTTCGAAAGGATGTATCTTATTGTGTAATCTCACTGTGGCGGCCTGTTTCTTTAAAGTTAACAGTCAATTGGGACACCGGAATAATGGTCCAAACAGACAAAGTTTCGATGCTGCTCTTTTTCAACGCCGTTTTCCACAGTTCGTTTTATTCTTTTTTCGGATCCCGGTTAAAGAGCGCCGTTGATGGACTATCGATTCAATATCACTTATATTCCCCAATAGATCGTCACTGGTCAGCGCCGAACAGCCTCTCAATTTCAACTCCTTCGTGCATACGGTACGGTAGCATCTTGCGGCAACGACACACCGCGGACATGCTCATCATACATTTGATAGATCAACTAATGTCTCGACATCGGTAGAAATGATTTATGCCAAAAAAGCTACATGCCTTGACGAATTGATTTTCACAGATGGAGTAGCTACCCAGCTAACAGAGCCCGTGTAAAACTAATGTGGTTAAGCTGCACAATCTTCAAATCCGAAAGTTTCCAACAAGTGCCAAGAGCAGTGGATTTATGTCTCTTAATTGAAGGCATTCTTTTGTCCCACACATTAAGAAAAATATAATTGGAAACTGTTGCGTGATTATCTCTATTTTTGGTAACAGAATTTAACTCAGCAAATCCTGTCCCGAATTATCTGTTGGCCCGACAAGCTTGCTATTTGTATCGTCGCTCAGCTACATCGTTTTGTTCCAAGTGGACTGAAGAGAATGAAAACTCGGTGAGTTAAATAATCCTAAAGTTACGCTATTACTATAAGTGCGCTTCGATCAATGTTTCGAAGATGTACCCTTAATTTGTTAGGAATAAATGAGTGAATTACACACATTTCTTGTTTGATGGCTGGGTTTGGAATTGAATCCCAACAAAAAGGATGGTGCGATATGTCTGTACATGTGGGACTTCCTATTGGCAAAATAGCATTGCTCACTCAATGTTCCTTGTATGCAAAAGGATGGATTAGTGCTGCTTTCCCTGTGTCTGTGCGGAAAACGCCTCAATGATTCACTTTAACCCCTTCGAAAGCACCAAGGCTAATGAAAATGGATTTCGGAAAAGGAGTGCTATAAGGGTCTTATTAATGTAAATAGCTCATATGAAGCAAGAATTAAATTATTAAAGAACCGAGTCGCATGACTGGCGGTTGCGAACGGAACAACCAATCACACGATAATTTAGAGGAGAGTGAAGCTTTAATTCTTGCAATGGAATTTCACTAGATGCGGCATGCATGCTTGTGTACTCGCTAATTGGTACAGCATTACTAGACAGCTGGGTGGCAATCGGCTGTCTGAATCAAGACCTGTATGTACCTTCAACTCTCTCCCTCTCTCTCAAGTGATTGGCTGCTGTTTGATATCCCCGGTGTGGCTGCGCTTGATGTGAGTGTTGACAAGGTGCCTACCTGTCTACTACCCACTACCTCGTCCATCTGGCTCCAGGAGACAGTTGGTCGTTGCTGGAGGGCAGAGGGTGCACGGTCCTTGTGGCCGTGTTAGGCTCGATGAGTGGTTCCATGCACTCAGTGTGGGGCGGACTACGATCCAGCCACCGCCTTGTGTGCGCTTGATTCCCCAAATACAGTGTGCTTGTGTTTGCCTGTGAAGGAGTGTGGGCCGGCTCCATTGATGAAACGTGGTTCCCATCCGCATGCCTCCCGGTCTTATTCCTTCGATTTTACACTGGATATGGGGTGTGTGGTTGGAGCTGTGGGTGGTGCAGCGCAAGGCACCCATGGTCCCTCTGTAGGCGCAGGCTTGCTGTGGCTTGCCACAGTGACAGGCATATCCGAAACCGGATGCCACCAACCATGTACCTTCAACCACGCCGATACGAAATGGTGCAACCTGTAGGTGTTGTGTGTTATCCCGTGTTGCGGTATCTAGTGAGTCGTGATAACCGAACTGACACACGGAGCATTACTGCCATAATGGCAAAAGCTGGGTGAACCAGACCTCCGGATTTTTCTTTGCTGGAGTCCAAAGTACTGGCTTTCCGAATTGGGATAGACTGATATTGTTTTCAAACAGCCGAATTCGTATCGTTCCTCTTACCGACATCTTGTTCCTGGGGGTATACCTACAAGTTGCTTGAGAGAACTTTACAAATACAGGTCTTTCTATGGTGAAACCGCAAAAATATCATGAGCACCTAAAATTTCAAGTAGTGAAGTCAGCAGGTTACGATCATCTTTATCAAGCAACCGCCTCTACACTGCTTCGTGATGCCAGATGTACAAACAGAGAACAACTTGTTACGGGATGCTGGCCCTATCCGCTGAGCATGCATAATATGCATGACAATGAAGCATAAGACATGATATATTGCAGTTAGAAATCCGTGGTAGTGGTCCACCGGCGTTACCCAACTCTCAGTAGCAGAAGTTGCTGTCTCGTAAGGAAGTGATAACGGAGCGGCATCCTGCAGAATCCAACGGATTCGCGCAACTGATGCATCCCAATAAGACGAAATGAACGTCTGGCACTTTGCTTGATGTGTGGTGGTTATCTGGCCGAATGTAGCTGGGATGAATCTTCTCAAAAATATTTGGATTATAGTAAGTGACAAAAACCTACTAAAGTTTTACGCAGTCCCAAATTTTTCATGCGTAGCCTCGGCGGACATATTCACTAAACATTGGCATTCTGTCAAAGGCACTTCATCCAAGGATAACTTAACTGAAGCAAGCTTGAGATATCAGTGTTACATGATGCGAAATAGATTGTCTAAGCACTACACTGTTGCCAAACTTCTGTACTGTCATTTTTGTTGTGTCACATTGAGATGTTTACCCTTTCGTACAATTGCAGTTGCAAGGTAGTTCGGATGCTTTATCGAATTTGGAAGTCAAAGCTTTAGAACAGGAATTCGACGAAGTGAGATCGTACCGTGATTCGTCCACTGACACTGGCGGTACTTACGGCTGATATCCAAAAGATACAAATCCACGCTTGCAAGCATTCATCTAAGGTGATAACAAACTGCACCTTCAAGCAAACAGCAGGCTAAAAAGTGATATTTCGTTGACCCGTTGTTAATGTGCCGATTTCACTGTACAATATTATGCAACATTCGCTACGATGTGTTTTTTGCAGCTAGCTACGTATGCTACTAGTTAGGTTAAAGGGATGCTGTCGCACTGAATTTCTTTGGAATGTAATCAAGTAAAACATGAAATTACTGACGTCTATCTAAGTGGGTCAACGCTAATCGACAGTTATTAGAAGGATGGTTCTTTCGCTTGATCTGCCAGGAGCTTCAATCTCCCTGGGAATTAACGAAACCAGGAATGGGCTGTTAACGCTGCTCCTTCGATGAAAACTGGTAGAAGATTAGCCAATCGCGCCCCTCTATGTGATAGGCTCTAGAATCTAATCACCTGTGCTTTTGGCTTTGAAACTAATGGCAAAATGTAGGCGATAGTTAGTAGTATATTCGCGAAGCCCATGTTAGCCTGCCATATTGACATTCACAGCGGCACTGTAAGACGGTGAAAATGCGCTCGTTCGGTGCCGCTACCAATAGAACATGGAACAATAGGATGACAACTCGCGCAGGGTGGCCAAAGTGTAACATGAAACAAGATGAAAACATGTCTATACAGAGCAGCACTTACAGTTGAATCCACAAAGAGCCTGTCATTTTCACAGATGTATAAGCACCAGCATCAATCGTATGAAAATTATGATAAACGCACCGTTTGCTTCACGCTTATGTCCCCAATCGAGCTGCATGTATGTTCCAAGGGGTAGGTGCGCGAAGAGTAAATCAATTTGGTCACCTTTCTAGACGCCTTGGAACTCAATCCTTCGGGGGCAAATCATTTGTTGGTGGAGACCAAAGGGCATCACTTGCTTACAGTTCTTCTAACAAGCCGTCCGAACTTTACCGTGCACATCGGCTTAGTTTCTCCAGCTATGCAACAATCGACAAACGTCATACAAGCAACGGGGATTGGTGTCGCCAAGAATGGAATCCGTTTGGTTCACATATGATAAGTTGACTTGGAGTTCTCGCCGGTTTTCTTACCACACCAGTACAGTATCATCATCACATCAGCCAGCAGTAGTCCACAACTAACTTAAACTCATGGCTCCTTAGTTTTTTCTTTTCGCCGAGTTTCAAGAAGTGGCGGCAAGCGCACTAGGAGCGGATACACTGTTACGAAATCCTCTCGCAAAAGCCAACAACATCAAATGTACACTTTTAGCGATTTCAGTCAAAATTAGTAGGAAAATTAGAGGAGGTATATCTATCCGTTGTAGTCCTACTTTGGGCCGTTTCAAATGCGGTAAGGCGGTGCGCCTGATAGGGTTGCCAGGCTTCAATATCGTTTTCTATGGGTGATCTCAAGTACGCGCTCAGCATTCAAGAAATACTGGACATCCAAACATTCGAAACATCTTTGAAGCAGACTGAAATGCGCATCTGCTTTGTTAATCGTTTTCTGTCTATGACAATGAGCCGCCTGTCTTATACGAACACCTCGCAATTGGAAAATTTTCGGTGTTGCTCATCCCAACACTGGCACCCTAGGACCACGGCTTCGTCTTTCCTTGGACACATCAGGTAAAGGTAGCCTGAGCTAGGGTGGATATCAGAGCTTAGTGGTTCACGGCTGATGTCATTAACTCTATGCCACTGAGATCCGCGAGCAACACTTCGTACAGCGATAAAGAATTTAGAGTTGGACTTGGAGAATCCGCCGTGTGGTTGATTTGCTACAAGCAACCTATATTGAGACATGGGTTCAGTTGAGGTGAACCTCGGTCATTCCGACCACAAGTAACGTATATGAAATGGTAATGTTTTTGTGTTACTGATCCCAACACTGGCATTCTACGACCGCAGTTTCTTCATGGTTTAGACTCATTAGGTGGAGATAGCCTGAGCTTTGTTTTCAAGAGTGGTACGCCGCAGTAATGATGAACCAGACCGGTAATCGGATACGTTGGTTGTGTTGGAATCGAGCATATCATGGGTTGACGACATGAAGACTCTGCTGAGGTGGCTTTGTAGCGCTTTTGGATTGCACACCGCTCAAGTGGCTCGCCATATGCTTAGGTCATTCGCGAAAGTGTAAGACTGGAAGGATGCGCCGTAGCATGAACATTAATGAAGAACAGGACTAGTTGCGGTTTGAGTATGAGCCGTGTGCATCCCACCTATACGAGTTCAATTTGATCGAACAGGGTGTTATCAAATGTCACTTTCAGATGATGCTGAAGGAAGTTACTGCTCCGAAGTAGGATGTCATGATTCAGAATGCCAATTGCTTGTAAGGAGTTCAGCTAAGCGTTGTCGATTCCTGCGCCAACATCAATAGCTTCTGTTCAACATGCGAAGGTGAACAGCGGTTCCGTGGTGCAAGACGGATCCTGCTGATATATGGGCTACCCCGGCGTAACAACTTTGCTGCCATCAGATATCCACCAGGCGTCTAAGCGAAACTGAGTCCCATTCACTTTGAGCCCACTGGAAGGAGTTACTGAGTGCTAACTTGTAAGACGGTCAGTTTTGTAGATAGAGGGTTGATCCAGTACTACTACACAATGAGAACTTCTATTTCAATAATACATCAACAAAAAACTGCTTAAAATTTAGGATAATCTTATGATAGTCACTATTGGTGCTTTTGGTAAGTCACGTGCCCAAGAAGTGGTACAGTTGCGTATAGGATATTAGCTGCTATAGTAACAAGTGAGAAGCCACCAAGTCGTAATAAAATAAAAACCTGTGTATGATAGATTTCAAGTGATGGCGCACTTCGGATCGGGTTGGCCAGTTGTTGCCCGGATAAACTGACCGCCCTCTAGCTGTTTGCATCAGCCCGTGTAGTATGTAGATATTCAACGTCGATATTCACAGAATTTTCCATACCTTAACGGTGTATTAGGACTAGAGCAGCATTTTCAACATGATGCGGATAGCACCTTATTCTGTCTTGACAGACCGAGGTTAATGCAAGGGTTTCGGAGAAGCTCTATTGGCTTGCCAAATTGAGTCCATTACTGCAAAAATTTCTGTGTCCTGCTGCTTAGGAAGGGGGTTGCCACTAACCAGCTGAATTAGTTGGCTAGCTCTATCCAGCATACCTCATAGGAAAATTCAGGAGGATAGCGACCAGCTGATTAGACGTAAGTCGGGCTCCGACTATGGGTTGCGACAGAGCTTATCTGGTGCCGCATTTGCCAATTTCTGCCTATCCCATGCAGCAAAACCGGTAAGCCGCAGGATCGCCGCTCCTTAAATGAGTGCCCACCGATGTTACTGACTCTTACTTCTTCGCTGGAAAACACGAAATCCAGGGTGGCCGGTTATTCCCTCGCTTTGAACTACGTGGAAGAAGTAACTTATTTGCGCCGTTGGACCACTAACGATATCCACATATAGGTCAGAGCAAAGTTGTATTATTGCACTGCCTCTCTTGTTAATTTACTCGTTGTAAAAGCAGGATAAATCAGAAATCCGGGATAAGTATGTCAATTGCCCCTTAAGTAACACGAGCAACTCGCACCTAGCAACCATCTACACCAATCAAGTCAACCCGTATAGTTCCTCCGCTCTGCGTCGAAGGCGGTATGCAAGTGAAATTTGTATAGTTTGAGTTCAACTAGATCCCGCCCCGGGAGGCCAACGTAGTTGCCACGCCACTGCTCACTCGGTAACTAATGCTACTATCCTTTTTCTTGCTGTTTTGGGTCGACGATAAAAGTTGAGCTTAGTCGATAGAACTGACTAGATAGATATATCAATGAATTCAAAGACACAGGCTGTTTTCTGGGCATTTAAATAGTCATCATGCGCGAAAACATGTTTTGATAGAACGAGGATAAAATGTGAATCTTTTGCGGCCGGTTATAGCTGAGCTGTAAGTGTCTCTCAGCTATGCTATGACATGTGCACTAGGCTGCTATGTTGAGGGGTCAACAACAGGAAAAGCCGCCATGGGTAATCAACCGAATGGTGGCATCCACACTGCGTATTGTTAAATTTTAAACACCATATCTGAAACAATTCATGTAAGCGTCGTGACCACATAAGTAACCTGAAATTTCCAAAACACATAACGAAAAGCTACCTTTGAACTTGAAGCTAAGAGCCGTAAACATGAGGCTTCACCTACTTGCTCACGGAAATATATAAATAAATGGTATGTTCCTCCTCGATACTAGGCATAGTCCAACTGAATGATCGGATCAATTTGATATGTTGGGCGAATAACTAAACAATCTGTCCGCGAACAGGTAGTGGACATCTAAACCACTGATATCTTCGGAGGTGACTTTGTCCCCTGACCCTATGTTACGTATGACTGCGGTGCTGTCTGTGAATGCATGCTGCGACGACCACGATAGCACATTAATGCGATGTATTTTAGCACTGGAAATTTTATTAGATGATCGTCTCAAGGAGTATGGTTCAAAGTGGAGCCGAAGATTGAGGTATGCTACTTCACATACCCATGGGCCAGCTCCACTCCCTCGTCAGACTGAAATTGTGTTCTTCCTATACCAATGTCAAGCGTATGGATAGATGGGTCGCATAGCCGTTAAAAGTCTCATTGGCTCACTACATTATCAGATGCTTTTTAATGGTAATCATGGGACAATTTGTGAACCGGAACACAGCATAAGATGCAGATGTATGTGACATATCGATGATTGTCTCCTGCGTTAAAGCATGGTATTTTATCAATATAATTAACAACACCTATCCAAAAATATTTGGTTCCGCTGTACACTAGAGGACGGCATCTGTCTGACATTTCTAGAAAATGTCGTTAAACAAAGGGCAAAAAGAGTACCATAAAAATGACTGAATTCCTTACCGCTGTTACAAGGTTTTCTCACGGATCATAGAGACATCCTGATCAAGGTGTCATCCATGAATTATTAGGCTTCGAGTTACACCCTAGCTCATGCTAGCTCTATCTGTTAAATTCAAAGGAGGGTGAAACTTGTCATGGGGTTGCAGTGTTTGGATGAGCGACCTCGAAATACCTCCAACAGGCGGAGCTGTTCACCCCAAAACTACATGGGAGGGATTAAGGGAGGATTTCGGTGTGGCTCTCGCCCATCCCTACACTC